GAGTATGAATCAGACTCGAAGCACGCGACGTGGTCGCGTGTCGTACCGCGACTTTCCATCTACTATGCGACTCATCGCATGCGTGAAATCAAGGAGTGGCCATGCGTTGTCTCTCCGCCCGTCCATCTGTTCTATTCCATCTCTTATCCTTCCTTTTTTGTCGTTTTCTCGCGTCACGACTTCTCTCTCTCTCTCTCGCTCTCTCTCTCTCTCGCTCTCTCTCTAGCTTTCTCACGTGTTCCTATCTTCTTTCCTATCCATTTAGCAAATTGATTCTATAACGCAACCTGAACGAATATACGAGCATGTTGCTAATGCTTTAAACGTCGGGTTACCAATGCACGCATGGCCTATCCGGCATCGGATAAATTTGCGCGAGACCACCCTCGTCAAAATAAACGCAGAAACAGAGAGAGAGAGAGGAAGCGAGAAAGATAGATAGATAGAGAGAAAGAGAGAGAGAGAGTGAGAGAGAGAGGAAGAGGAAGATAGAAAAAAGACGAAGGAAGATAAACGAGAAAAGGGCGAGAATCGTTCGCGTTAAAAGAAATATTTTGTTTGCGTGATCTTCGAAGCAACACGAAGACCCGTCCGTCGTGTCCATATATACTATACTTGAAAAGAAGAAAGAAAAATTCTCGTGGGCGAACGATAAAGATGTGTACGCGAAAGGATTTCATAATTAGCTGGAAGGGAAGTGTATATAGCTTGGCAACCGATTTGCAGCTGCCTCCGTAGCCGGCAGCGTGTGCGAGCCGATTAAATCGATCGATGTGGTAATTAAGTGGCGATTAACGAAGTCTCTCCACGATCGTCCTACCTCCTCGCGATTCCATCGACTTCGTATACGTTCACGATGTCTGTGCCCGTATTTTTGTCTACGTATATGTGAAAAAAAGTACGAGTCTTCCGTGAAAGAGCTTTTAATTAAAAATATCCTCTATACGTGCGCAGCCTTTAACTCACGTGAATTAATTCGATTTCTGAGAGCTGCTTTTTATGGAAACTCGACTGTTCTTGGATATATGGAATTATCGTTGTCAATTAATTCATTTTGTAAGTTTTCGACGAAGTCAAAAATTCTTTCTCGAAAAATTTAAGATTCCATTTCTCTCGTTATAATTGCAATTGTTGTTATTGGAGTAATCAAAGAAAGAAAAAAAAAAAAAGAAAGAAAGAAAGGAAGAAAGAAAGAAAGAAGGAAAGGAAGAAAAGAAATTTGCCGAAAGAACGATGCGTTCGACCGTAAAGGAATTTTTATTCGCAATGATTAGTCAGCAGGATGTATGTAATGCCGATGGAAAAAAAAGAAAAGAAAAAAAAAAAGAGAAGAAAAAAAAAGAAAAAAAAAGACCTTGTGACGATTATAGAGAGTGAAAACGGTGCGAAAGAATTAATCGTTGACATTGATATAAGTCGTCGACAAAATGATTGTTTTTTCTTTTTCTACTTGTCTTGTCTCCTCTCTCTTTCTCTCTCTCTCTCTCTCTCTCTCTCTCTCTCTCTCTCTTTCTTTCTCTCTCTGTCTCTCTCTGCAATGAACGTTAGTAAAAATGACGTTTCATTCTTTATAAGAGATACCTATTTTCTTCGTAACATGTCTGCAGTTCGCGTGAAAAAGCGTATGTTAAGTTAGAGTCTTCGTTATTTTTATCGTCGAGACCAGACTGTATAATTATTGAACAAACGACGTGTTCAGACATCTCGAAAATACACTTAGCTACTGAGTTGCCAAAGATATTGCAAACACATATATCGACTGACGAGTAAAACCTCGTACTTTATCTTTAAGGAAATGATATTTTTCACAATCTCTGTATAAAAAAAAAAAAAAAAAAAAAAAGAAAGAAAAAAGAAAGAAAAAAAAAAGAAAAAAAGAAGAAAAGAAAAAGAGAGAGAAAAGAAGAAGAAAAAGAAAAGGGAAAAGTAATGGAAAAAAGAAAGAGAAGAAAAGAAAAATTACTTTTAGAAATTATATTCACCTCATAAAGTTTGATCATTGATCGAAATGATAATCGACGACGCCTATTTATACTATAAACGCGTTAGCACGCAAGGCGGCGTCACGATTAGATTTTTAAGCCTTTCGCTTTTACGATCCGCCATTTGATCCATCCGGCGTTTTATTATCCGCCGGTGCGAAAGATTGCGTAATCCTTTTTTTTTTTTTCTTTCCATCGCGTTCCTCAACGTTACTTTCAAAATTCGCGAAGCGTAAAGGGGGCCGCGCAAAAGCGACTCAACTCGGATAAGTCGTAGGCGTTTGCACGATTTTTACCTCTCTCTTCGATTCACTAAGCAGCTCGACAAAACGAGAGGAAGTTCTATGAAAGTGATTCATAGAAACTCGACGTAGTAATTAATGATCGTTTCACGGTGGAATCGTTTGTTACGTGGGCGGTCGAAGGTATGATCTTTTCTCGGACGATATTGCTAGCAAACACTACCGATTCAAAACCGAAAGAAATCGATTCGATCTGCATCGCTAACCGATTTATTTACGCGGCTAATTGTAAAAGTCTAATAATACGAATCTAAAGAAAAGAAACAAATCGACGAAATTGCGAATGAATAATTTTGTACGAATCATCGGAGCATCAAATTAATAGATAAGAGAAAATAGAGAAAAGAAACTAATCTTTCGTAGAATTTTATTCGCAGAATGGATCGTTAATTACTCGGAAACGTGATAATTGTATTCTATTTGATGGTAGCCAAGCTATCGGAAACCTCAAACTTAATTACCTACGTCGAATGAGTTACAAGAAGTAAAGATGGTAGGTTATGAGCGAATTTTAATTTTCTAAAGGCCGCAATGCTCGATCGCGAAGTTCGATAGCCGATATGAAAGCGCGAGGGGCGGAGATCTACCTCTCTTTTTATTTTTATCATACTCATCGTCCCGATGATGTAGCTTTATTCATTCACCCGATCGCTCGTCTGAGAGTTCTTTACTTATTTTACTCAAGGAAGAATTTATTACATCGATAGGAGGGAATATCTTAACATCGTGTACATCTTTCCTCATTCAAGAAGCACGTAAGAGAGGCAGCTCTTTCAAACAGGAAGGTAAGATAATTGCAGGTTTTCAAATTATTTCGATAAGAAAGAAAGATTTGCCATATTCTCAATACGTCGAACTATTTATTATTCAAACATTACAATTTCCATATTATCATTCATTCGACGTCATTGAAGTTGACTAAATTTTCAAGAATCCGAAACATGATAAGCTCCCGTTGAAGAATTTTCAAGAGGAATACTGGACTTTTCTGTATCTTCTTCTCCTTCCATCTCCTCTCCTCATTCTCCTTTTACCGATCATTTCTCTCTTTCTTCTTACGAGATACTCTTACGCGTAAAAGGCGTTCTCTGCTCTTTTTGTTAGGGGGCCCACCGAACGGGCCCTCCGGTACACGAGGCCATTAATATTATTACCGAGCGGGAGCGTGTAGGTATCATTATCGCGGAAGATGGAGAAAAGGAGGAGCAAAAGATGGAGAGTGGAATGAATGAGAAGAAGGAGGAAGCCATGGTGGCCCTGATGCATGCTCCTACATACCCTCCGTGTCTCCCCGCCCCCTCTCCTCCACCCTCCCCCCTTTCCCTACGTTCTTCTTGCAAGGAGGCTCCTCGATTACGCGAGCATTCGAAATTTTCAAGACTCTTCCGACAGCATTGGGAATCGCCCTCGAAATTGATGTTGTTCAACCACGCGATCTTACCTCAACTTTGGTGGTAATGCTTTACGTGTTCGGGTTGTTCGATTTTTATCGCCTCCATCGTAGCATACATATCTTCGTTCTTTTTTACTCCTTCTTTTCTTTTCCTTTTCTTTTTTCACGTTATTTTTCTTTTTTGCTACCTTACCCTTTCATCGAGCAATTTTCATATGATAAACGCACTAAGAAACGTATAATAGTTAAATTGATCAATTCCATTTGTCCATATATCTTCAATCGTTTAAATATTATTTATCGTATAATAACCTTGACGAGTTTCGTTAATGTTTATTTACCAGTCGTAAACATTAAAACATTTCGTTTCAACTTCTCTCGCTTAATATTCCTCTTGACAATCACGCCTATCGATCAATGGTTATTTCAAAGCGTTAACTGATAAAGCAATCGATTCGATGAACACGGAGAATCGATTCTCATCGTCTTGGATCTATTCGATCGTTACGGTCGGATAACACTGCGTATCGTATTGTACGAGCGCACGGCGAATAGATGGCATCGAATTGAGCGACAGGTAACTAAGAAAAGGGGGCAAGAAAAGAATGCGAGATGGCAAGTATCGACGTCGTAAAAGTGACAAGCGTGTCGACATAACGCATATCACTGAAGAGAGAGAGAGAGAGAGATAGAGAGAGATAGAGAGAGAGAGAGAGAGAGAAAGAAAAAGAGAAAGAGAGAGATAAAGACGGAAACGGATAGAATGAAAAAGAGAGAAAGAGATGGTCTTTCGGTTTATCGGCAATCACGATTTGACCCGTATTAACCCTCTCAGATTCCCTTGTATCTCGAGAAAGGAGAAAAGAGAAAAGGTTCTCGATGATGCTTCCCTTCGAGTCCTCTCGCATTACGATGCTCTATCAATTGAATAAATAACCTGACATCGATACAATATTGTTATCCTAGAGCGATACTCTTTTATGTTAGATAGATAAAGATTTGAGAAAAGAGGAGAATCCTCTTTAATGGTTATCGCACGGTAGTTGCAATGTATGTAGTCGATTTTAACAGAGAGAGAGAGAGAGAGAGAGAGAGAGAGAGAGAGAGAGAGAGAGAAATAGAAATAGAGAAAGATTTACGGTACCGACCATAAATATTCGCCTCTACTTCGCGTCGCCTTGAATAGCATAATTCTCAAGAGAATCTATGTGTTAGTGTGGGGGTGAGGGGAGGGAGAGGGAGGAACATAGAGAAGGTAGAGATATAAGGATCGCTGCGTTAGTTCTTAACGTCTAATCCGCTCACGATTCTCGTTTGTTACAGGCTCACGTGCTCCGAACCTTATTTCATGAGCGAGGGCCTATATGCACCTCTGGAGGATCTCGATAATATTCGCGAGGTCACTTTACACACGATGACCATTGGTCTTTTCATCGAAGATCCAGGGAAGGTAAGTGATTATAACGTAAGCTCCGATCCACCGTTATGCAAACATTTCCTTTTTACCCTCGAACGAGCTTTCTCAAGTGAAATCCCTTCTCATCTTGTAAAAAGATTGACCACCTATATAGGTCCGCGTATATGAATTTATATATGTATGTTTGTATGTATGTACGTACGTATGGTCTTATTTTGTATATTCCATCGTCTCTAGGTACGACCAATCGAACGACACCAGGAATAATAATGACGTTCGTACGAAGAAAATGTATCACCCGTGTAACATCGTACGAAACGAATCGTATCTTCGACAGATAACTTCAACGATTGAAATAGAAATAACACATCGATTCATACGTCGATCAACTATTACGTTCTGTATTTTTGTTCGATGTTAAAATTGCTGTCTACGTTGGCTATGTGTATTTTAAAAGTTAAGCCATCAACGCGATAACGTAGGATCACGTACGATGAAAATCCGATGAGAGAAATCCATTGCCGTTCCATTTAGACAAACACAATGATCCTAAACTTATTCGTTAATGCCCGTAAACAGGATTTCTAATTGGCTAATCAAGGGAATCCTTGTGTTCTGAGAGAGAACTCTCTCATTTTTCCATCAACGTTTGCCAACGTTCTCTAACGTACTTACAACTTTATACGAGCGGCTTAAAGTAAAGGAGAGGTCGATAGGGAAATAAATAAAAAGACGGCTAATTGCATTGCCGGTTCGCTGTTGGTTCATTCGTCGACCTTTCTTATCTTACATGGACGTCGATTAAAATTACGTACGACTACGGATGTGTGGTAGCCATTTAAGCGGCACCGACATAACCACCACATGTTAAAGCTACGGCAGTGCAGCAATACTATCTCGAATGGTGCCAGGGCCGGCCCTCTTCTCGAGTCACTAATTAAATGCAACGGCTAATTAGATAACTGATAAAAGGTTATGGCGATCTCTAAGAGGTTCCACGATTACTTTTGGTTCCTTGCACTTTTTCTTCGGCCCGCTCACACTCTCGTAGTTTCTTTCTATCTGTCTGTTCGATTTCAACCGAACGAAATTCGAAACTTGGCTTAAATTCTATTTAAATTCTAACCTTGAAACTTCAAGGATTTCTATTCGGACGGCTTTTAGTCGACGAGGCAGACGAAAATCCAATTAAAGAATTGCACGTTATTTAAATATCCCGGAACATGCACGTGCTTTTTCTGAAAAAGTTCTAAGATTCGTCTTTGTACGACAGGATGTATTTTATTTTATTTATTTATTTATCTTATTTATCTTCTTCTTCTTCTTTTTTTTCTTTTTCTTTTTCTTTTTCTTTGCCTTTTTTTTTTTTTTTTTTTTTTTTTGATAAAAGTATTTTTCCCACGTTCTCATTGATCGTAACTAATTAGTCGAAGAACTGGTCCATATCTCGTTTCTCACGTTTTATTATTTGTCCAAGGGCTATCTGAATATTTTATTTACGTATCTAGTGATAATTATTCCAATTGCCTGTCTCTCTTATTTGATTTATGATGTACCAATTAAATGTTCATTTTTTAAAACTGCTGATCTCGTTTCTGATAGCTACTGTTTCCTTTTAAATGCAAAAACTTTATAAAGATCGTGCGGAGATAAGTTGCTTGTAAATTAAGAGGACGTCGTTCATGCTCTATTGTCAAATCGATAATGAAAGACTTTTTATACGGTATCACGACAATGTCTCTTTAAGGAGTGCAAAGAGGTTTGAAAAGAAATTGACAATGTCATTAATGTTTTGATACACGATCAGTCTCGATCACGTTGACAAATTTGTCAGAAACTTGAAACGATCGAAGGACGTTGTCAGAAGAAACGACAACTGTGTTACCATAAGATTGTCGTTCCAAGGCTATCAAGAGTATATACGAGTATAATGGTCATGGTGTTGGCGATTGTGATGATCGGACAATTCCTAGACACGGCAGCGAGCATAAATTATTCAGACGACGTAGCAAAAGCGATTAATTTTATTGGCCAACGTCCCGGATATGGCTCGTCTGTACCCGTCACTGTCGCTTTGTTGCAACGTCGTATCCCACTATGCTCTCTGTTCCACGATTATGCGCCAGCCCAAGCTAACACCTTATTAACGTTGGTGGTTACGCGAATACCGGCCGCAGGAAAGTTGCGCAAAACCGTTTGCGCGTGAAGAGCTTTCCATCGTTGAGCCACCTAACGTTCCTTTAAGCGTTAAATTACCAAAGCTCCTCTCCCCTTTTCTTTACTCTTCTCATATCGTCTCTCTCTTTCTCTCTCTCTCTCTCTCTTTCTCTCTCGTTCTAACTCTCTATCTCATACACACATACACACACACATGCACATACCTCTCCATTGGTATATTCAGATTAACTTGATCTTTAATTTTGTACACTTTCGCGTCTCGTATTAATTACGAAAGAAGAATATTCAAAAAGCGTTCTGGTCGGTCAAGTAAAAGTAAATTAATAAAAGTAACAAAAGGACAGGCTCAGATACGTTAAGGAATTCAAAGATTACAGCAAGAAAGTTCTTTACCCGTTGGTATTCCCAGATGACAGGAGTCGCGTTCCTCGCATGAGTAACATTAGCCTCTTTCTTTCCCTATATATCCGAACTCGGCATGACAAAATGGCGAATATAAGCGAGAGACACTACTTTCCCAAGGTAGATTCTGGACGGCGAATTCTTAGCGATTCTAAAAAGCCAACGGCCAGGAGATGCTCACCGGTGGCCATAGATAGAGCGTCGAGTGCGACATCGTCCCGCTCTCGACTCTCGATGGCTTCCCGGTAACCAAGGGGTCAACACTCACATCGGGACATGTTTGGACGATGAGAAAACCGGGCGAAGGAGAGAAGAAACTTAACGGCGCAAGACCTTGGGCAAACGCATTTACCTTCGCCGACGTTCGTACACCTGCGCATACCGAACTTCTTTTCTTCTTCGATAGAAGAGGAAAGGATCCAAGTGGTATGTATCCAAAAAGAGACGATGATCCAACGTGTACTTTGTCCGCCAAAAAGTCATCAATCCTTTTTATTCGTTGGATGGATCTTATACGAAAAAAAAAAGAAAGAAAAAAAACGAAGAAGAAGAAAAAAAAAAATATATATATATATATATATATAAATACCAAATGATTATATCGCGGCTATTCCAGGTATTGATATATGTATTAGTTATTTATTAATGAAAATAAGGGCGCATTATTAACGACGTAAACTCGTTCTTTCGTCGATTAGCCGTTTACGATGAGGAACAAGCGTGTCATACTCGTCGAGCATCCACCGTTAACAGACGCCAAGTTGTGATCTTAATGCGCACAGACTTCTCATCCGTCATGTAGATAGCCTAAGAGGTAGTCTCTCGGATGGGCTCGTGCGTGCACACGTACATACTTACTTTCTCGTCGTAGACACGGGCAAAGAGCGAAAAAGGCAACCTGTCGTTATCCTTCTTTCTCCATCTCCCTTCGTTCTCATCCTCTCTTGTCTCTTCTTTTTCTTCTTTATCGTTTTTTGCTCTTCTTCCTCTCTTTCTTCGTTGCTTCTCCGGACGCGTCGTGACTGTCGTACTTAAGAACCGGGGACAGGAATCACGCGACTTCGAAGCGAGACTAAAATTAAGTGTCGGGATAATAAGCATGAATGAACCGGCTGTTAGACAGGTATTCGGTTACTACGGCCTTCGAGAGCATAGGTCAGCACCACTGTCAGCGATTTTACACCGAGTTACTATCGTTTCTCTGTGTGTCGCTTTTGCTGAATCATCTTCCAACGAAGCCTTTAGACGAGCCCGGATACGCCTTCGATGCGAATTTCGCAGTAGCCTTCCGCTTTGAACGACTCTTTCTAATCATGATACGTCTTCTTCGAATTTCATCCTCGAAGATTAGTTTATTTATTATGTTTACTTTTTTCTCTCTTTCTCCTTCTTTTTTTTCTCTTTTTTTTTTTTTTGTTTCTTTTTTTTTCTTCCTTTTCAATGACACTTGTTGATATTTTGACACTTATTAATATTACGTTTGTCCATGGCTATAGTGGTAATAAAGTTTTTATATAAAACGATTGTAAAAGTTTCTCCGTGTCTTCATCTTCAAAAAAAAAAAAGAAAGAAAGAAAAAAAAAGAAAAAAAAAATAAAAGAAAAGAAAAATACGAAATAAACGTGTCAGATGCATGCATATATCCATTCCTGCATAATTTCCTTGACAGTCGCCGTGTTAATAGAGAAACACATGAGAAAATTAAGGAGCGTCTACTTCTTCCTTCCTTCGACTTGAAAGTTTATTCAAAGAGAGGAGTGGTTCGGGTTGGGTCTTATCGACGATGATGCAAGGTACCTAAAGATACGCATCTCCGTCGTCTTTGGTATCTTCTCTCCTTAGGTAAGAGTAAAAAATAGCCTGAGGCTATCTCGTTAGTTTCTCATCCGGATGGTCTTGAAGAAAAAAAAAGAAAAAAGATAAATATAAAGAGTAAGATAGAAACACGTGTACCAATGCAAAGATGCTGTTACATTTAATCACGTTTTCACCATTGAATTCTAACGTTTGCTATATTTTTACAATTACCAATAATTTCTTAATGATCGGATTGAATATAAGACGACATTGATTTGAATATAACACGGTTGTAATGAATGTCCTAAGTTAACGCACAGAGACAAATAATATATCTGCTTACTATATGCATTAACTTATATCAACGTATGAATTATTTAATGTAGCCTTGCAATAGGATAATTTAGCATATCAAATCTAACCTGTAACGTTACATTCTAAATAATATTTACATAAATATTATACTATTATCGGACATGTATTATATAAAGAAAATAATTCTCTGTTATCAATTCGAACTAATAACTTGTATTTACTAAAATATTGATGAACTTGATTCATAATAAATTTCAATGATTATGAATAGAAATGATTAATACGTTGTAAAAATATTGATTTTAATAGAAAACTTATTTAAGCGAGAAAATTTTATATTCACGAGACATCACGAGAACAGTTTCTCTCTCTCTCTCTCTCTTTCTCTCTTTTTCTCTTTTTTTTTTTTTTTTTTTTTTTTTATAATACCTTCGTCCCTATAGTTCTTTTCACATAGAATCTTCGTATAATATCTAATCGTTTTAATTATACGAATAACGACATTAGCTTGCAATAATATGCTATCGTAAAAATACACTTTTCATATAATAAAAATGAAAGCGTACGTGTTTTGTCAGATAAAAGATTATAAGGTATAAGCGAGCATACGCTTGTCTCGTATCTCTCACGAAGCTTGGGCTTTATCTGTAACATAAATACCAAGAGAGAAATATGTCTCGTCCGGACGTGCTATCGCGAGAGGAATACTCTCCAATTACGATATCTCCTTTTCACGTTCACCTGCGTACTCGCGGATAGCTCGTAAGGTAGTTGCAAGCAGTAGAGCGGAAGCACGAGAGAGGAGCCATTTACTTCCCGATCGAGAGAAGAGTTTACCTCTGAACGTAGGAATGCGCTCGTAAGTTTTCTACCAAGTATCCGGTTCGTATTTATTTATTCCGAGATAATGCGTATTCGTAAGATAACATGTTCGGAATTTTTCGGGAGAATTCGATTTTACATGTTATACTAAGTGTATATATATATATATATATATATATATATATATATATATTTCCGATCGATCGATCAATTTCATTTATTTGCAATTTCCTGTTACTGTATCAATGATAATAATAATCTTTTGTTTCAATCTTTCTTTCCGATTTAGATTTATTGGTTTGAAAGATACAAAATTGAATTTTATTATAAGATTATTTTGATAAATAAGTGAACATTCAATCGGTCATAATTTTGTACTATTATTATACTTGGAAATATTTGATCAATTTTCTTCTCTTTATCAACGAATTAAATTGATATTTTCTTTTCAAACGCTTTCGTTATTATTAGTTTACAATGTAACAAAACAAGGATCGTACTTTTGAATGTATTGCGAAAATATTGTACAAGGAATACCAGTTTAAGAAGAGAAGATTAATTGGACATTAAGGTAGTTTCGTTAATCTTATTAAAAAGATTGTCCTTTCTTGATACGAGTTTGTACCAGTCTTGTCGGACGTTTCATAATACGCATCTCGACTTAATATTCATCGATATAGAAGCACACGATCAAAAAGCCGGAAAATCGAGTCATTCGCCATACTGCTTTCATAAAAATCAAGACCATTCTTCTTTTTGTAGATCAGTCTCTTCTTTTTTTTTTTTTTTCTTTATATCTGGCGTTAAAATTTATCGCTTCTAATATCTTGTTATGATAACTGAAAAATTAAAGATATGACAAAATTATTCATATAATTATTCTATCGTGTTTTTTGATAAAACATACACATATAACGTTTTTGTTATTTGATAATTATTATTCGATTATATATATTATATATAATCATCAAATAATAAATTATATATATATATATATATTCATTATTTTAAAACATTAATAAACAATTTATTTATCATAAATAATTTCTTATAAATTTAACTCGACATAAATATTTCTTATGAATTATTTATAATTGATATATTATTCGTAGATTCGAATGAGTCAAGAAAATGAAGGGAAGGTTTCCTACGAGTATGTCGTCGTAAATTGTTAACCATACTTTTCGCGCTATTTGCAAGCCAATAGGTAAACGTTTTATCAACTTTAAAATCCCGATTCGTGTAATGCCACGTCGTACCATTTCCGTCGTGGTAATTAATTCTCATTATTCGTATCGAATATCCGTACCACTTTCGATAGCCAAGATCATCGAGGACGATAAGAATGGCGATATTTATGTCGCAAGGCGAAGAGTTCGTTCCTTTCTCGCGGTTCGTTTAAGGTTTCGCCCTTCCACCGTATGAAATTCTTTCGTTCGATATTTCGACGAAGGGAAAATGAACGTATCGCGTTTGTTGCTCTCACCTTTTATGCTTTTATCTATAAGAATAAAGAAAGAGAGAGAGAGAGAGAGAGAGAGAGAGATCCCGTAGAGTAAAGGATTTTCTCAGAAGAACGAGATCCTTCCTGGTTCTTAAGATAAACTTTTGCATTCTTTCAAAACGTAATCGAGTGAATCGAAGAAACTAAAGACACCAGTAACAGAGAGCATTAAACCGGTAGCTTTCTCGACCCGTATTTTCTACCCTCTGAATCAGAATTACGAGGCGATCATCCTCCAGGCGAATAGAATTCAACGATATTACTTTTCTCATGATACATTTTTCATCCTTATCTGTTTTCATTATATAATTAATTTATTCCAATAATTCAGCCATATAAGAAATATTTATTACTTTTTTATTTTTATTTTTTTGTCTTTGTTTTTGTTTTTGTTTTTTTTTTTCTTTTTTTTTTTTTAATCCAATCCGTCGTTCATTTATCAAAATTTTAGGATTTAAATATCATCCATTTAAAAAAGAGAATACGCTTGGAATGGTATTAAGATTTGGTCACGATTTTGAATTATGGAACGAGTTGATTTTTTCTTTTTTCTTTTTTTCTTCTTTTTTCTTTTTTTCTTTTTTTCTTTTTCCTTTTTTTTCTTTTTATATGCGTCAGGATATAACTTACGTTATCTATCCATATAAAAAAAATATCTCCCGTTAACGCATTCCAACTTAGAAGGATTTGCGTTTGAGGAAGCCAAGAGAAACGGATGTTTCATGGTCGAGCTAGATTATTTATCTCTATGAGTCTTTACAAACTTGCTTTTAGTTTTCGATTCGAAATGGAGCTGTGTGCACACGCACGATATTGTTTTAAAAGCTCGTGATTCGGAAAATAGAAAAGGAAGTTGTACGATAGAAAGAGAGAAAGAGTAGAGAATGAGAGATGACGTTGGTGGACCAAGCGAGATTCGCTTCGCTTACGGAAGGCGTTTCACGATTTCGTGCTGACCGTTCGTGGCCAGAGGTCAGAGTTCAAATTCAACCAGACGAGATAACAACTACGACGTCGATAAATCGTCGCTACGAAGAACGCCGAACGTACATTATACGCTTATTTCTTTTTCTCCTCTCTTTATCTCTCTCTCTCTCTCTCTCTCTCTCTCTCTCTTTCTCTCTCTCTCTCTCTCTCTCACTCTCGTTCTATTTGTTCGCTACTTTTTATTCCTTTATTCGTTTCCGTTATTTTTCGATTATCCGATTGAAACTCGAAGCGACTGCGAGAACTATTGGAGGAATTAATTTTATAACTTTCCATATCTATCTATGGGAAAAACTTTCGATAAAATAATGCAAAAGTTCGGATTATATTTGTTTAAAAACAAATAAATCTTCTTTAACCGAGATCGATATAAAAAAATTGAAAATATCTAAATAGTTCGTTTAGTTTCTCGTTTTAATTTTTTAATTTAATGAAATATTTCGAAAATAGTCATATAAAATTTCATGCTGCGGGGGAAGACCGGTGTCGACTGGGCCAAGTTTTATATTTTTTCTCACAGTTCTCTTCCTCACTCATTTTCTTCTCTCTCTCTCTCTCACACACTCTCTCGTTTTCTTTTCTTATTCTCTAGCGTTCTCTCGTAACGGACATTCTACATCATTTCGTTTGAAAATAAATGAAAGGAAACGGAGAGCAGAAGGACTAAGAACCGTCGGATACGTCCGATCCTTTATCGTTATTACCCTTCAACCGACTTAAAGGGCTATAAACGACAACATATGGCACCCACATGGACGCGAGAGCAACGTCTTGACAAAGGGATCCTGCAGGACTTTGTCGCGACATGCAAACCAACGGGTGTATCTTTATCCTTTCTTATTTTTCTCTTCATTGTCCACTTCTCGCCATAAGAAGATAACAATAGGACGGTAATGACTAAGTATTTTATCTTCATGTTTTATTACTCTTCTTTTTCTTCTTTTTCCTCTTCTTCTTCTTCTTCTTCTTCTTCTTCTTCTTCTTCTTCTTCTTCTTCTTATATTTTTCTTTTTTTTTTTTTTTCTTCTTCTTCTTTTTCTTCTTTCGCCATTTTAACTTCTTCTAATAAAACTCGGAAGAAACGCTATCGGGAAAGAAAGAAAGAGAGAAAAATAAATAAATAAAAAAAAAAAAAAGAAAAAAACAAAAATAAAAAGAAAAGAAAAACAAGAAAAAAAGCAGAGGAATAAATAATAATAAAATAAAATAACAAATTAAAGATGACATAAGGAAATTGATTTGAATTGATTATCGATCGAGATCATTTGGATATTACGACGTGTCATTGAAATAAACAAATTATTTTCTCTAACGACAGAACGAGAATCTTTTTGAAGTCCTTGCGTCAGGATTATCGAAAGATTTCGTAAGCATAGACGGACGTATGTTACCGTTTAACCCGATTAACTTGCACGGTGCACGTGATTAATCGCGATCCATAATAAGTCGTTGCATCAGCTTCAACAGGAATACGTTGCGACATAATAAGTCCTCGGAAGTGGATTACATAAATTCGAATAATTATTTCACACGAAATCTATCCTTATTAGTATCCCTAGACTTTCGTAATAACGAACTAAACTAATCATGTTCGTTCGTTCATTCGTTCGTTCGTTCTTAGAACACGAGGGTTTTGGAAAATCATTGAGTTTCATTCCTTTTTCCCCTTGGGTAAACTCGTTCGTCGCCTTACTTACAACTTGTTAGTTACACCAGTATCGTTTACCTACATATAAATTATAGTAGACATCGTATCTATCATTTTCTTTTCATTCAGTCTTCTCGTAAGAGAAAATCATTGGCTTTCATAATTTTATTATAATTTCAATAGGGAAGCCTTTATTTTTTCGGCATATGAAAATAAGTAAATAAGAAAATAAGAAAAAAAAAAGAAAAGAAAAAGAAAAAAAAAATGAAAATGAACATTCGGGCGACGTATTTTTTTCAACTTTTTGGATTATCCCATTTGGAATGTCCCCTTTTCTTCCTTTTCTCCCTTCTTCCCCCCTGCCCTTTTCCCTTTTCATTTCTCATGCACCGAAGCAGGTTGTCTTCAATCTTCTTACTTTGCAAATTGAACGGTCGGTACGTACTATCGTCCACGTCGACTCGTATCCTATGAAATGCAAAACACGTTAGGAAGTCTGAAAAAAATAGGAAGCAATTAGCCGTAAATCAAAATCGCGCTACCGAGATAGCGGACTTCGTAGTTAATATAAAGTAGCTCCTATCCAGTGAAACTAGTACCACCAACGGCGTTTTGTTCGAATTTACGCTTTACCAAGATATCGTCGTCTTGGCCGTCCTCGTCCTCGTCCTCGGCCTCGGCCTATTCCTCCAAGAGATCTTGCCCTGGAGCCTTCGTTATTACTCCCAACGAGCGATCTTCCTTCCTACGTTAAATCTCTTCAAAAAGTAACGTTGGAAAACTTCTCTCGTCTTAGGTTTTTTATTTTTTATTTTTCTTTTATTCTTTTTTTTTTTTTTTATTTATTTATTTATTTTTCTTTTTTTTTTTTTTGTTCCTTTTGTTTTGTATCTTTTCAATGAGGATTATTATCTTGTAGAATTAAAGAGAAGTGATCCAATGAATGGAGTACATTTCGGAATGATAAAATAAAAGTATAAAAAAAAAAAGTCTGATGATTTTGAAAGTTAAACATTTAGATTCAAACTGTTATAATAAAATTTTATCATATTAAATCGTATTTATTTCGCACAAGTTAAATAATTAACTTTGATTAATGCGTCTCTGTCAAGTCCATTGATTCATTGATCCTCGTCGCTCGATATCTCACGTTGCGTGTTACAACGACGGGAACCAATGTTTAAAGTCGTACATAAGATTTTACTGTGTTCCCGTCAAAATCTCAAAAAATGAAAACGAGTAAGCCGATAACCATACGATTAATATCAATGATCTTTCTTGATCGAGCTTGTAATGTTAATTTAGTGTTAGGATATTTTTTTCATCTCTTCTTTTAATATCTACTTAACTGTTACCTACTACATATTTTTTAATTATAGCTAAATTGTTTCGATAATCATTGAACCGTTTATTTCTCATGCATCTTGTTTTAGATTTGTTCAGTTATACGCATGATTATCAGATCATTTTATATATATATATATATATATATATATATATATAAAACAGAAGAAAAAATTATTCAAAGCTCACTGGCACCTTGCAATTAACTTAAGTCTTCTGATTGCCAATACCGGTTGGCTTACGAAATAAACTCGTCGGTTTGCGGGCGAATGACATAGGAACGATTTGGAAATCGAGTTGGAATCACAGAATAGAAAATCGCTTCTAAAACGTATATGTCGATTTAATTCTTTTCAAACAGGATTTTATCAGGAACCTTTCACTATGCCTTTCCTTTCGTACGCGCTCACCGGCTCGAAATATTTTACAGACGATTTCGCGACGATCGACGTTTCAAACGAATAGATCTCGAGACCTCGATTCTTCTCATAGATCTGAAAATATCTTGGAATCTTCTAGAGGAGGCTAGTGAACGAACGTGAATCGTAAAGGCGCGAGAGCGAGCCGCGAAGAATAGCGCATTCTGGTAAACAACAACCGGTTCCTATTTACGGTTATCTTCGTGAATACGAGCGAGCAAAGCTTGTTGGTTCGCCTCGCGGTGGTCGATAAACTGCCACTAGGTCTCTACGCTTTAAGATAATTCTCTATGAATAAAATCAAGCGTAGTTATGACGCTTAGCGACGAGAGTAGAAATCTGCTCTTAAGATGCTAATATACGCCGAGAATAAAATTGAGAAACGTTTCTCTGACCCTTCTCTCAGTGACTGACGACTTTACTAATTTTGCTTTCTCTCTCTCTCTCTCTCTCTCTCTCTCTCTCTCTCTCTCTCTTTCTGTCTCTCTCTTGTATTTTTGTTGTTGCTTTTTATTATTTCTACTTATTTTTTTTTTTGTTACTCTTCTTCTTTTTTTTATTTATTTATTTATTATTATTTTTTTTTATTTTTTTATTTTTTCTTTTTTTTTGATATTTTCTTGATACCTATTTCATTCGTTTAGGTCAATCGAATAGAATATTTGAAATCGGCAAATAAACGCTTCTCGAAGAACAGATAAGTGAACGTTATAATCGTACACCTGACACTCGTAAATTTAAAGCCTTCACTATCTTTCCTCTCGGTATGATAGAACTTAACTCTAATCTTATTCATATCGATTTCGCTGCGAGACATGGCATGAATTAATTAACAATATTTTCTTGTCGCAATATAGAAGACCAGACTGGACCGTTAGTCAGTCTTTTAAGTATCCTCCATATCGGAGTCTCGATATATTCATCGAGATTATATATATTTAAAAATCAAATTTTTATTTTAATAATGTTGAACGTATAATAAAGTACGATATTTCAGTTTAATTTACTATGGTTTTGTCGTTAGACAGCGATTTCTCGAAGATTTGCGGAATATGGAAATTCGAAAATGAAATTAAAAATTATATACATATATATACATATATGTAGATATTATATGTAAATAATTTACAATTACCATTTTAATGATATAAACTCGATTAATACTTCCGTATATAAAACAAAATAAAACAAATGGTTAACTAATCGTACAAACGAGATATCGTATCTATTAATAACTAATATTTCTTTTCCTTCCTCCTACTCCTCCTCCTCCTCCTCCTCCTCCTCCTCCTCCTTCTCCTCCTCCTCTTCTTCTTCTTCTTCTTCCTCGTTCTTCCATTGTAATATTTAAATTCGTCTATGCGCCATGTAGATAATGAATTCAAGGCGTTTCTTCTTCCTACGCGTCGAACATTAACGAAGGGTACCTGTCGAGCTCTTGAAATCCACTTCGATTTATTTCCGTCTCTTATTTTTCCAACGATAGGTGTGATGCTATTACAGTTACTTCAAGGACTTCGAGATAGCACAAGCACTTTCTAAGTTGCGCCGCGACATGTACAACGACTATAAGCGAAGTAAGAAGGAAAGAAAGAGATACACACACACACACAGAGAGAGAGAGAGAGAGAGAGAGAGAGATTGGACCCGTCTCTTCTCATTCCCTCACAACGAATACGCTCGTATAATTTTCCTTCGAGAATATCGAGCCGTTCTCGGTTTACCTCTCTTTCTTTTCTCACTCGTAACTTTGGATTTAGAGTTTAACTTAGGTACTTTATCGCTTGGTTGAACAAAATTCATGACTTTCCGCGATCAACATGACACTCGTATATAATTTTCTTTCTTTCTTCTTTCTTTTTCTTTTTTTTTTCTTTTTTTTCTTCTTCTTCAGAGTCGGGATGATTCCATTGTAAAAAAAAAAAAAAAAAAAAAAGAGAAAAAGGACCTGGACGATTTTCTTTTTTTTTTTTTTTTTTTTGTAGCAGCAACAGCACCAGCATCCTACTTGACCCTATAAATTTGTACGAATTTGTTGAATAGATAGGAACGATGTAGAATTGTTAGGAATAGTCGGGAAACGCAAACGATTCGATAATTTTACATTGCGCTTTATAATGGACCCAGTACGTTTTTGCATTTACCTCATCTATATCAAAGGGCCATCGTTAGTTACTCCCTACAAAGGAGATTGCATCGGAACAATTCCGTCGATATAGGTGCCTACCTGTCCGTGGTAACTCTTCGCTCGGCAACTTCCTCCTCCTCCTCCTCCTCTTACCTTTTTACCTTTCTACGAAATTACATAAAAAAAATTTTCTCTCAAAGCAACCTCGTCAAAGAGCTTTTTTTTCTTGGCTTGTTCTCGTGGCTCGTAGAGAGTCCATCGATCGTTTCAATATTTCAAACGATAGTTTCGACCGATCTTTTGTGTATTTGAAAAATGTGAACGTGCATCGATTAAAAATCGGTAATATTT